CAAATAACTGACAAAGGTTTTCTCCCCATTCCATTTGTTGTCTTTTTACTCTGTTTATTATTTCCTTTGATATGCAGAAGCTTTTTAAATTTGGTGTAATGCCATTTGTCAGTTCTTGCCTTTGTTTCCAGAGCTATAATGATTCCTTTTCTGGAAAGCACTGCATGTGCCAGTATCTTGAAAGGTTTCCCCTATATTTTCTTGTGGTAGTTTCAAAGTTTCAAATCTTACCTTAAGATCTTCAATCTATTTTAGTTAATTTTTACACAGGGTGAGATACAGGGCATCTAATTTCAATCCGAATGTGGATATTCAATTTTCCCTACATTTGTTGAAGAGAGTGTCTTTTCACCAACATATGTTTTTGGCACCTTTGTTGAGAATCATTTGGCTATAGATATGTGGGTTTGTTTCTGGGCCTTCTATTCCATTGGTCTACATACCTGTTTTTATGCCATGCTAGTTTTGTAACTATGGCTTTGTAGTATATTTTGCAATCAGGTATTGTGATGCTTCCAGCATTGCTCTTTTCGCTCAGGTTTGTTTGGGTTGTTCAGTGTCTTTTGTGCTAGCCTATATCTTTTTTATCTTTTTAATTTCTGTGAAGAACGATATTGGCATTTTGATGATGGTTTTGTTAAATCTAAATAGGTTTATTGTAATATATAATAGGACAAATCACCTGTTTTTCTCTCTAAACATTTTTTTACCCTCAGGCTTTTCAGAGTAGTGATAATTTCAATTTATAATGTTCTCCAACCTCCCTGTAAGGATTTTAGCTAGAATTGTGCTAAATAAACATTATAATGGGTAAAATTTTTGTCAACACAGTATTAATCAGGATAGATAAATTTTGAGTGCAGGGTTGGCTGAAGCAAGTTTTGGGTCAGTGTTTTACCCTGGGGTCTGAGTACCTGGCCCTAAAACATTTACTTACTTGGCTGTTAGAACACAGGCATATTGCCACAGAGTCACTAGCAGGAGTTCTTGGATTAGGGGATCATGATTCCCTTTGAAAGGTATATGCCATGGACTACCTTTGGAAGGTGTGTGCCATCTTCCCTCAAATCACATGAACAGAATTTTACATGTAATTTCTGGGCATTAGGAAACCCCTGATTAATTTATGGATCATAGGTTAATAATTCTTACTATGAAAACTGAAGAATAAAGAAAGCTCGTAAGTAATCTAAAAAAGTCTAGTAAATGACTGAATTATCATGTTACTGTGTGCAAAGAGAAATGCTATTATTTGTCTGATAAATGGATTGACAATCAGATTTTATACCCATATAATAAAATAGAGAATTAAGTTTTGCTGGTAACCTGAATGAGAGTGAGCACTTTTTATAACAATCTTAGGGATGTCTAGGCTAAACAAGGAATTGTTCAAAAAGCAGTAAGGAAGACAAATAGGCTATGGTGCTAAGACATGAGTCACTTAGACCTGAATTTTGAATCTCTGCTTTGTGGGCTGGAGGTGTGTCTCAAGTGGTAAAGTACCTGCCTAGCAAGCCAAAGGCCCTGAGTTCAAACCCCAGTACCGCCAAAAAACAAACATAAATGTCCACGACAAAAAGATGAGATGAATCTCATCTTTGTTACTTACTAGCTGTGGGAATTTAGGTAATTCATTCCTACTCCATGAGTTTAAAAATGTTACAGTTGCAACAACAGCAATAAAATAGAGCATTTCCAAAGTTAGATGGGAAACTATCAGTAAGAGTCAAAGCAGAAGAACAAGGTATTAAAATGGATTTGGATTAAGTTTCTTTGCAGTTAAAAGGTAGTATTAAACCAGGTCCTGTTGGTACATGCTTATAATCCCAGCACTGGGGATGCTGAGGTGGAGGATTGGGAGTTTAAGGCCATCCTTGGCTACATAGCAAGCAAAACAAAAATAAACATACACATACATACAGAAAAACAAAAAAACTTACTCTGTGCAAAAACACTTCATATGCATTATCTCTTTTTATCTATAGAGTAACACCTAGGAAATAGATTGTCATCGTCTGTATTTTATCAGGAGAGTAGGTAACAGACCTTGTAAATGGTAGACCTCGGATTTATTCACAAATTTAAGCATTATGCTGTTAGCTTTTGAATTAGTACATAACTGCAGTCTAACCCAAAAGTTCAAATGACTAGGAATTTTTGTTGTGTATCTTCGTCATATACATAATTCATTTTCAAGATGAAGAATTTGTTAAAGTTGTTGAAACAGTTCAATTTTGTACTTGTATATCTATATTTCTACATAATGATAGTAAAAAAATGAAATCTCAAAGAAACTTCTAAATGTATCAAAGACTAAATTGTTATTTATTTATTTATATTCTCATTTGCTAAAAGTGAGTAAACTATTGGGTTTTTTTCCCCATTGAACCAAATTCAATTAACTGGTACCTTTTATTGTTCTAACCATCCTTATTAATATATGTTTGTATATATAAAAGCATAAGGGAAAAAATCAATAGCTTATTAAACTTCATATTCAAATAAGCCCAAATGTATTCTTTCATTTGTTTTATTTTTCACATAAGGGATATAACATCTTTTAAGTTTTTGCTAAAATTAAAATTAATTTTTCCTTTATGTAAGAAAAAGGACAGATAGAGACTATGCCGTATACTGATCACTTATATAAGATAACCTTACCTGATTGTAATCTAGTTCTGGATAATCTGAAGTAAAACTGGTATCATTTAGTAAATCTAAGGTGTCTTGACTGTTGAATCTTTTGTGGGAATAATTAAGAGAGCAGTAGGTACAAAATATTTGACTTCCAGCTGCTCAAAAACTAGGTTGTAATTTATAAATTTTTCTACAAAGATTTAAATGTGACTTTAAGGAATATACCTTGTGAGAACTGGAAGTATGAGTTATTCTCTAATTAAAATTGGATTGTTTCTAATTTGTAATATAATATATTGGTATAAGAGAAAAAAACAACTAATGCCAAGTGCTTTTGTGACAAGATTTCTCTATCCTAAGTAGTGATTTAGTTAATTTAAAATGAAGGAAAAAGTACTGAAATTCCTTCACTACTGATCAGTACCTACTGAGGCCCTGTGCTTTTGTAAAAATATTTATAGTTACGAAAGTATTTTATACTTTTTGTATGATTAAAGTTTAATTTCCTTATTTTTGGATTGGCTTTCTTTTGTCTATTTTCTTTCTTTAATTGAAAAAAACTAAAGGAACCAAATATAAGATGGTACCACTGTTTCCTTCTTTTGTACAATCTTGTTGCGTGTCTCTACATAAGCTGTTCTGGCCACTCATCATAGTAACCAGCTGGGCCATTTCACCTGCTGGAGCCATTAAAGAGGACTCTCTCCCCCTAGATTAATCCCCTCCGACATTAGTTTTTTGCACTGACAACTGCAGCAGGCATTCAGAATTTGCAGGTGGCCAGTGTGACGCACATAATTGCCTACAATTTTAGGCAATGAATAAAAATGGTCTACATTACTTGTCAAAGGTTGTATATGCAGTGCCAAGTGAGATCTATGGGAAGCCTTTTAGGGTTTAAAGAACAGTTAATAGCAAGGCTGCACAGGGCTTTTTTAATCATAATGCATTTGTAATATAGCACTTTGATCTTCTCCTTGTAGGAAATGGTATTACATTAGCCACTTTTAAACATTTATGAGTGAAATTCAGTTATAGAAGAGTAAAAGTGATTATTCTTAAGCAGAACATGTTAGATTTCATTAAAAGTTTTCAGCTTGCCCCTTCCTTGTTAAAATCTGTTGGAAGTCCTATTCCCGGAGGGTTTCAAGTCAAGATCTAAGGACATAGGGCTTTTCCCTTATTTTTCCTGTTGGTAACAGCAAGATTTGGAAGGAAGGTATACTAAATATCGAGATAATTTATGCAAGTGGACATTTATAGGGGAATAACTGATTATGGTCAAGTAAAATACATCCATGAAAATCTAAGGAATCTATGAATAATTTTGGGTTACAATAAATTTTGAGAAATGCATATTTAAACATTTCCATAAGTTATCTTTAACAACAACAACAACAACAAAAAGCACACAAAAACAAAAACCCTAGATGACTCTCCAATGCGCTTCTTCTGGAAGAGCTAAGTTTGACCTTTCAGACCCGAGAGCCTTTTATTAACACCTGCCTGTAAGGAGAACCTTGCCACACGCAGCTTTTAGATTCAGAACCACAAAACTGATGAGGAAAGGCTTGAAGGGTTCAGTTTGTGTCACTTGCTGTTTGCCGTTTCCATTTCACAGATGATTAATCTTTCTGTGAAGAAAGGCCAGAGAAACAAAGCACATTGGGCTCTTCCTGCAGTTACTCCTTCTGAATGCACACTAGCTTGCTAACTAAAAGGCCTTTAGATTTCCAGCAGAGAGAGATGTTCTGAAAGTGAATGCAGCTGGTTGGAGGTCACCGGTGCAGGGCTCTTGCCATTGTGTAATGGAGGCTTTGGCAGGTTGGGGTGGGGGAGCTGCGGAGAAGTGGGCAGGGAGAAGGTGTTGGCAAAAAAAAAAAAAAAATCAGAAGAAAAAGGGTTTTGGTCAGTTCATTTAATGTTTTAGAGGGTAGATTGTCAATAATAGGCTCAACTTCGTCTATGTAGTTTGTTTTTCTTTTTAAAGAAAAAAATATAATTTAATCTTTCTCTAGTATACCACCCCCTCCATTTCCTACTAGCATGTTTATCTTGCATGTGTCATCACTAGGTATTGTTAACTGTTCTATTTTGTCTTTGATGTGATTGAATTGTCTTGAAATTTTTTAGACTATTACTAATTTTGCTATCCTCATTTTATATATTAAAATCTTAATGCCCCAACAATGTTTCATTGGTATTTGTTTTTTTAATGGTATTGAAAATAATTACTTGTGATTTAGTTCTGCTTTTATTTTAAAAATTATTATTCTGAGGATTTGAAAACTTTTAATATTGATATTGAGTATCTAAATGCTTAGTATTCATCTTGTGTTTACTTTTTTCTCAATCATGTGTAGGACATAATGTGCAAGGTCAAATCCTGGGTTATAGATCAAAAGAAACCTGTCCGCTTCTATCATGATTGGAATGACAAAGAGGTAAGTTATAAGTATCATACCATCTATTACTGCTTGTGGTTTGATTTCTTAGAGAACAAATTTGAATTATTTCTATCAGCAATTGCTTATTCTCAGATTTGTTATTTTTTTCTTTTCCCTCATCTCTTATTCTTAATAGGTCATAACAAATAACCTTTTGGAAACAAGAATTATAAAAATGAAAATGCTGACTTGTTTTAAAGAAAGTTTGCTTTCAAATTATCCATATTTTCTCAACTTTTAAAAGGGATTCTTTCTCTTTCTCCCACTTTAGATTGAAGTGTTGAATAAATACTTATTTTTGACTTCAAAACCAATGGTCTACTTGGTCAATCTTTCTGAAAAAGACTACATTAGGAAGAAAAACAAATGGTAAGTTTTAACTCTCCTGATATACTGAGGTACATAGTTATATACACACAAACACACACATATTTACTATTTTATTTTAATGTCTTCTACTTATTTGAAAAATTTTAAAGTGAATGAAAAAGTTTTGCCTTTTGTTACATTTAGAGATGAGTCTTCTAAATGATTCGCACTAAGAGAACTTAAAAAGCTTTTTTAAAACAACTAAATTAAGCATAAGTAAATATATATTTACTTACAAGGTTTAAGTTTTTTAAGCATTATTGCTCATTTCTGTTACAAAATGAGAATGAATGTAGTTGGAGTACTAAAACTTTTTAAGCTTGAAATTTCTAGCTGTTTTAAGTGATTTTAAAACATCCACTTGGGGTTATAGCTGAGCATAAATTTTAAAATGCAGATTGAAAGTAAGCTTTCTTTAAAACAAGATTTAAAAAGAGAACACGGTAGGGGCAAAAAAAGCCAGGTAGGCCAGGTACCTGTTTTGAATATTTTAAAAGTATATTATAGCAAAAAAGTAAAAACTCATCTGTTGTCATTTTTGATGTGTAATCAAAATGTGCAAGATTTGTTTTCATCCTTAAAAACTTCAGAAAATCATATGTTCATGTTGGCCTGTCACATTTGGCATAGTACTCACTTTGACTTGCCTTGCTGGACCCATAGCATTTTATAGTATTGAGTCATAGAAACAAATCAAAACTATCCAAAGCAAAATATCTGAATTCTCCTAAAATATATTGTCGGTTTCTCCCTGTACTTCATTAAGTACTTAGATGCACATGGTTTCAATTTTCCATTAAAAATTCTCATTTCCATATGATATCAAAGAGTGAGAAGGCTTTAAACTGAAAAATAAACATTCATAGACTGGAAGCCAAAACAATAATTAATGTCAGATGGTTAACTCCAATAAATCATTAGAATAAATTCTGTGAAATTACTGCAACTAAAAATGCCCTGTTGATATTACTATGAGACATTTTGTGTTCCTGATAGGAAGCTGAATTTAATCTCTTTATTGGTAATGTTCTAGAAAGCATGAATTTCACATAACAATGTAGTTCAGACTGGTCAGTGTTCCCCAGCAAGTAATTAACTTTAAAATAGTTAGTTCTGTCTTGCTTCAAATCCTTATAAATTCGATGATTAATGTGTTAAAGATTGTTACCTTTAGGAAGGAATTTTAGGGTTTATTATTGGCCTCAGGTAATAAATTTTCTCATAGTAGTATGATTGGTAAGATTTCCCGAGGCTTGGTGAAACAATACAGACATCAAAGTTTACATGAAAAGGGATGAGTCAGTTTCCTTACCCAAAGGGGCTTCTCACACCTGTATTTGGATGATTACAGGTAGAACTCCCTGGCTCTAATTGTATAGTAAATACCATTTCCCAGACCCTAATGGTAGACAGACTGCTTAGGAGACGCCAGTCTGTGATTTAGTTGTCGCCAGACTCCCCATGTTTTTTGAGACCAGTTGTGATGATGATATGGTTATGGCCAATTGAAAGTAAGTTCCTGTCTAAATAACAAATTTTAATTTATATTAATATAGATCTATGAATGGTACTATTTTATAAAACCAAATTTTAGTAGGTTTTATGTACAAATCATGATCTGGTTTGAGGTTGGGGTATGTGTGTTTGTGGGGGGGGGCGGTCCAGATCTTGTGGAAGTTAGTGTAATTGTAGCTGAAAGATCAAAGACTGGGTTACTGAGTGATGTTCCAGAAGAGAATTTACCACATAGCCATTTTCTGTACAGTTTGTGCCGCCTGCTGTTCCTATTTTCCCTCAAGCTAGCCATTGACTACCCCCTGTGCATCCCTGCTCGTAAAAAATGATTGAGGAAGTATTTGTCATGTATTTATGACTGGGAAACGCTGTGCGATAGGGAATGGCATCTATTGGAGCCAGAAAGATTGCCATTTTCCTTTCATTCAGCCACTCTGCTACAGTTTTAAATCCTCTGTTTATGCAGCATAGCCTTTGTATAAAAGTGCAGAATAAATTTTTAATATGAAGGATACGAACACTAGGTTTTCATCATTTATACCGCTATAAGCAGATGTAAATAGTTAAAATTTATTTTAACTTTTAAATCCATTTAATTGTGTTAGCATCTTGGTTTTTTTAGTTAGGTTTATATCTAAGCTCCATTTGTATTAGTTGCTCCTAAAGCAAAAGAAAATTTTTTTGTTTTATAAAGTTAATATGTAATGTTACTGTAGCAAATTAAGACTGATACAGGAACCAATACTAAACATTTTCAGGAAAGCTGAGGCTATAGCTCAATGGTAGAGTGCTTGCCTAGCATGCCAAACCCTATGTTCAGTCCTCAGTACCACAAAAAAAAAATGCGTGTGTGTATACATAAATATTCATGAGTCTTTTAGATCTAAAAATCTGTTTTAAACCATCAGGAATGAGGAGAGGTTTGAGACTTTGCCACACAAGAAAGACTGAAATGATCTTTATTTTAGCAGGTCACTATTTTCAGAAGTAATGAACATTTTAATTATTAAAGTCACTTGAAATTTAAATGATAACATATTATTTTCAAATCCTAGAACAGAAAGGAAGCATTTTGATAGATAAGTCTACTGTATTAGTGACTAGGTATACTGACCTTTCAAAAGATGTAAAAACTGGAATGGGTCCAGACATCTACTCACAAGTTTTAACAGTGTTGAATTCATTATTTCATTGATTTGTGAGTAAGACCTAGCCCCTGAAGAGAAGCTGATGTGGCAGCAGGGTTGGTTGCAGTTGCGTTATGATCAAATGTCAATAATCAATGTATTGTGAGAAAATCCACAGAAACGTTTTTGGATTTGTTTTTTAATTACAAGTTGCTGTTTCTTGAATGAATAAAGCTATGTAAAATTTTGTTGTTTTTGGTGGGTGCTGATGATTTTAGAACACTTAAGGTTTTCCTTTTCTAAATATAATCAGTTATTACTTACAACCAAGATTATACTGCATATGCAGTATTAATTTTCATTTTAGATTGCCTACTGAGTCATGGTGTCAAACAGGTACAGGACATTGAAACTGTCAAGCCATTGCTTAATTAGGGGTTTAAATTTCAATCTTTGCACCTTTGCTGCTTTGATAGTAGTGAATGCCATCCAATTATGAAATCAGTAGAACAAACTAATTTTAGATGTTTTTACACCTAATAGCTACCAATTACATTTCATTTTTGTATTCTTTAGTCCCTATCTTCTTTAAAATGTTGCTAAAGGATAGTTATGTTTTATTGTTTGTTTATACGGTATATCTTTGTTCACCTGGAAAATGTAAGTAAAATTAAAGACTTTCAAACTGCCACAACCTGATGGGCTTATAGTAACTTAATATTTTGGTAACATACAAGCCGTTCTAAATGATGAAATTGATTCAACATCAGTAAACAAATAATTTGAAAGTCTTTCAAACTATTGAATAATCAAGGGCAATATGTCAAGTTTACTGAAAGAATGTAAAATACATTATATTATTATGTAAAATTATTGCACTAGATTTAGAGGTTTCATTATACTATGATTTAGTTTTGGGAATACTATACAGTGTATGCCTGGTTTGGAGGAAAATCAGGAAATAGCTCTAATACTTTCTTATTCTCTTGAATTCTTTTTTCAAATGTTCTCTTGCATTTGAGTATATTTTTACATGTAATAATTATTTTATTTATTTTTTGCAGTGCGGGGGGGCTTGTGTATGCTAGGCAAATACCAAACCACCAAGCTACATCCCCCAGTCCCTACATGAACTCATTTATGAATTTCTGTTGGGTTTTCATTAAGTTGTTTTTAGTTACTCTTTAAGCAATTTTGTATTCTTATCAAGTGGTACTAGTTGGAGTGGGGATGAACATAAGTGGTGGCGTGCTTATCCAGAAAGCACGAAGCTATGAGTTTTATTCCCAGTACTACAAAAAACAAAAGTTTACAATGTGCTTCTGATTTCATATATTATGAAAATGATAATTGTAGGAGAAAGTGTATATGTGCTGACCTGTTTGCATTTTGCCCAATACTATTTTGAGGCAGTGATTTCTATTTGCAAGATGGTTCACTGAATTTAAGAAAGTGGTACATTTGGGAGCATCAGTTGTAATCTTCATTAACACCATCTGCTGACTTACTGATTTGTGAGTGACATAATTTATCAAATATGTCAAGACTTTCATCTTTTTTAAAGTAGCTGAAAAATTTCATTCCACATATTTTTTCTAGCTTCAAGAGATTAAGAGGTTGAAGTTCTTTTTTTAAAAATGAATATTTCCTAGAATTCTCTCATGTAAAATTTAAACATGTATTCCTCATACACATATCTATGATTTGGGAATGAAAGACAAAAATTCGGTTTATGGTTATACACCATTCTTCAGATTACAAATGATTCATGTACACAAAGAATTTTTTTGGTTCCCTAATCTTACTCACTTTGGTGAATAATTCAAGAATAAACTTCTTAAAAACCTATACCCCAGAGATTAAGGATCTCTGGGTCAGATTTTGTTTCCTTTTGTGACTTGGGATGAGTTATAGTCAAGAATGGGACTTTTGACAAGTATGTAGTGGAAGTGAAGAAGCACAGAAAAAGGACTGTTGGGAATAAGAGAGATAGGCCAGGGCCTTATGAGAGATTTAGAATGAAACTTTAGGCAGTATGCAGGTTTCCTTGGAGAAGGCTTTAGAATAGAAAAGTGGGTGTGCTAATTTGGGTAATTTCAGTATTTTTACCTGATATGTCTTGCTTGTGCAGGACAAGAGAAGAGTATTATTTTCTCTGCCTTTTTCTCCTGTGCTGCATGTTCCCCAGTCACTACTTTTGGAGCTAATGTTATAGCTCACCTACTAGATGAGTTAAGTAGACTTTTGAAGGCTAGACTGAAAACCTAGGTACCATTAATAACATTGTTTCTGTTAAAAAAAAAAGAGCTCTAAAGAGACTTTGAGCATATGTTGTATTGTAAATTAGGGACTAGATAT